ATTGCCAAGCTACTATGTCGTTCTCAAGTCACCTCTGAAATGTTTTGATTATTTGTTTTGTGACTCATTACCCACTTAATGACAATAACATAAAGAATTAATTACCACCTTACACAGGTCGGGGCGCCAAAAGTGTCTTTGCCTCCGGGTGCTGAGAACCCTTGTTACACCACCGATTCACACCTATATTTCTCCCTTCCACTTCTTTATTCTATGGACCTGATCACCTCCTCTGTGTAGTCTGTTGCTATTTGGCCTGCACTTCTCCTTTTTATGGTTCCTGATCCCATCTCTTCATTCAGTGGAATCGTTTGTCCACTCGTGATCATTCTTCCATTACCCTAATTGGATGGCTCAATCAGCTTATTTGTTTGTCATATTATATGTTGCATGGAAAAGCATGTTGGTTCTTTCAGGTGTCCTCTCGTCATATTCGTCACTATATTCTTTGGATATTAACTTTTGTTGTACATTGGAGGAGGTTGTTTGGGCTGGTGTGTGGACAATACCTCACACTTTTGTCACACACCATTTACATCATTTGGTAATTTTTTCTTTGTCGGGCTATAGACTGCCTCCTGTTGCTATTTTTCCTATCTCATACTATTTCTGACTGGTTAAGTTTTATTTTTTTTTACTTTGTTTTTATAGGGCCCTTTCATACCTTACAGAATCCTGAACATTGGCAAGTGTTGCTTGCCAGGGTATACTTAAATGTGCACAGTGTAGGGCATGAAATTTATCCTTACAGTACTCAGTGTCTTAAACAAGGCCTGTTCCAGACTGTACCTACTCATGGACTATCATAAGAAAAGCAGGCAGGGGATTTCTGCCCATCCTCAATGTCTAGTTTAACATTTAGTGCTGTTATGCTTTTCCAAGTATGGTTTTTGTTGTCACCCTTTGCACTGTCTTATGGTGATGTGTTCTTTTGTACTCTCCAATGTGCTTTTACCCCTTTTTTCTTCTAGAGGAGCATAGAAGTCCTTGCCACTTACCAGTTCTTAAGCTGCTGGGGTGGTGGACCGCGGATGCTGCCTTCTGAGTTGTGTTGAACTCCTGTTGGTGGAGAGTTGTTGCATCCTCAGTTGCATGCAACAGCACAGCAGTATCACGTGGAAACACTAAAGTGTAGGTGAGAGCCTCGAGGCTAGTGGTGAGTGAAAAAAATTCACGTACAGAGGGTGGTACTGAATCAGGAAAGTTATATGTGGAAGGATATGAGTATATCAGAAATATGTTTTCAGTGTTAGAAAATGTTAACATTTATATTCATATTCTGCACAATTATTAACTATTCTTGCTCTGTTGTTTTTTTTTTTAGTCAGGTCAGATATTTACTTTTCAGGTGACATTACTGATAGGTGACTTTTATTGCTTCTATTACCACGTGGCTCTTATGTTTTTCTGATATTTTAGCCCTTTGTGCTGTGTTACACGATGTTCATACCCCCCCCACTAGAATTCCTAGGCATTGTCCTGGACTTAGGTTTGATGTTACATTTCTTGCCTTTT